TGGGGAATTCTGGGAGCTGAAGTCCACACATCTTCAAGCTGCCAAGGTTGAGAAACACTGGTCTAAAAGATACAATGCAAAGTATATTGAAAATCAACAGTATGACAACAAAATTAGAAGGATCAGCAAGCATGAGATAGATCTCTACCTATCTGAAAGAGATCTGTGTATGTATTCTTCCCCCTTCCCCAGACACAGAGATACACACCATCCATATTAATCTGGCACTGCAGGGGAGAGCCATGTTACTCCATGGCAGCCTAAAATCAGGAGGAGTCTGGTCACACCTTTTCTAACAATGTACATCAAAAGGCATAAGCTTTTGCAAGTTACAGCTCACCTCATCATGAAAGCTCATTTCATGCACCTGTCAAAGTAAGCTGCACCTCACAAAAACGTACACTTTTTAATAAAATATGTTAGTTGGAAAAGGTGTGACCAGACTCCTTCACATCAGCTGATCCTAATAAAGATATTACCAGACTATGGATTCAAAGTTCTGGGTAGGCTTCCAGATTGTCCAACGTTCAGTCATCAGACTGAATGTTATGCCGAGTGAGGGTAGAAATAGGGGTAGGAGAGATGGAATGGCATCACTATAATAGAAAAAAGCAGGTGAGAAAGGGAGACAAAAATAATTTTGACGTTACCTGTTCCTTCCACCCAAAAAACACAGGTCAGACTGGAATTAACCTAGAATGGTTGAGAGAGAGAAAACAAGAGAAACGCTGATGCAGTTGCTGCTATGGAGATTGGGCAGAGCTCATTCAATGGGTGATGACCTGTAGCAACACTCCTCTCTCCACTATCGTCACTCAAGCTCTAGCCTGGGACCTTTCAACCGTGCTTGTGGCACCTGTTCCCTGCAGGTTTTATGGAAACAGGTTTTTTTAGATATTTCATTCTCAGGGCATGTTTTAGACAACTCCTCAAGAGAGACTGTGAAGTTTGTGCAGAATATTGTTGATCTAGTACTGTAGTTAATAAAGACTGTGACTTTTGGAAACAGTCTTCTGAAATAGTTGGAATCCATTGGCTACTTCCAAACTTCGGAGCTCAGGAGGACAGTTGTGATCTAAGTCCTTTTTGGGAAAATAAGAATCTAGAGTCTCAACCTACAGATGGTCTGCTAGAGTTAGAAGAAAAGCCCTGGAAAAACTGTAAATAATGTTTTTCTGCTTTGCTGGGATCTTCTGGTGGAGTTACATGACTTATCTAGTCTATTGTCTTTCTGCTATCAGCCACAGCTTTACTTTCAGAGGAGCTTTCTCCTTTGTTTCCTCCAGGAACTCTTCACTTCCCACCTCTGATCCTGCAGCGTGGCTCTCTTGCCAAGGATTGTCCTACTAACATTGAGGACCAGTTGTAAATAGTGTACCACTTGTTCAGCACCATCATAAGTTCAAACGACTGCTGAACAAGTGGTTGTTAACTGAGGACTACCTGTATCATACAAGCATTGTATCGTACATTGATTCATCAACTGCATAAATCCTGACCTTGTGGCTGGTCAAAATACTTGAGGATTATGCCTGATGCAATGATGAGGTCTCCATGAGCAGACCCCCAATATCTTCTCTTTTTGGAGCAGTTGAATTTCTTTCTACCAGAGTGCTAAGAGCTATTAGAGACTGATGTCCATGGCAGCGTCGCTACTCACCAATTTATGATTATACCAAAATCGGATTTCCACAGGTTGAGTGAGGTTTGCAATACTCATGTTCCCAAGAGTGGCCCCTAAGATGTCATCATTCAGCAAGGAGCTGTTTTTTCTATCCTGCAAGACAAGGAACAGAAATGCATTGCGCTAAATTAAAATGGGGTGGGGTGATTTATGCTTCAGTATATTGTGGGTTCCAAGCTTTGACTTAGCATGTTGGATGAACCAGGCCATCTCTTTAAGCCATGGTTTGTTTGGGCACAGCATGCTATATAAACAGGACAACTGTGTTTTGCTAATCCATGTAGGGTTTAGAATATTGTATAAGCTCAACCAGAAAGTTTCTGGCTGAGTGAGGGTCTGAATTCTGTTATCTAATCTGATATTCAAATTAAGAGTAGGGAACCTGTTTTGGCCACAAGGGCCAAATAAATTCTAGACAAGGGGCTGGTGACTACACTTCTCAGCAGGCGGGACCATCTCAAAGAAGATGGAAATTCACTCCAACGTGATTGGGGACCCAGTCCAGGCAGCCAGCCTCTGATTCACCTTCCCAGAGTCATCCTGTGTGCACACTCTCACTCTCTCTTAGACACCTTCTCCCATTTAATTACTAAAACGGGAGATGGAGAAAAATCTTGGGTGAGAATTCCAGGCATATAAGGGCAAGGTTTCTGCGGAGAAACAGACTAGAAAAGCTGCCCCATGATATACTCAAGTTTTCTCCAAAACTCTTTTCTTTGAAAAAAAAATGTACTAACTGATTTGATTGCACTTCACTCCATATATTTATGGCTTTTGCATGCCACTCCTTCTATGGTGGTAGAGCTCAGAGATGGGAACGGTGTGCCCACTATGGAGTCCAGCGTTCTCATCTTTTCTACAAATTAACTCACGTTCCTTCTGTGCACGTTGCTATGAATTTGGCTTGACTGTAATGTTTTCCTCAGCAAATTACTTGAAGCTGAAGAAGAATTCTCTCTTTCCAGGAGCTAGATTTCAGGGAAGTTGTTAGCTAATTCTTCAAAAGAGTTGGTTTATATTTTCTCTGTTTTTAAAATAATTTTATTAGATTTTTAAAAGAGAAAGTAGAAAAGAGAAAAAGGTAAAGAATGAAAAAGAAAGCAAGATCAAAAGTGCAGAAAGAAAAAGAAATACAAAAGAAGAATGACTTGGTTTATATTTTCTCAATGACAGAACATCCCAGTTAAACCCTGGGTGGTAGTCTAAATCCGTATAAAGCTATATTTTTATTTTGAGAGTGAAAGACAGAGTCAGCCTGCAGATAATGGCAAAACCTACATAAATAGGACAGAAGATGGACTGGGGTAAATCCTTAGCCAACAAACTAATGGTTTAGTTGTGTTAAGGAGTTGAGTTCAATAGATCTGAGAGATGCCACCTTACAGAAAGCTCTCCAACATAAAAAATATTTTTAAAAAGGGAGAATTGCTAATAAGGAAAGTGAGAGTGAATGCAGTGAGGGTGAAAACAGGAAGACACTGTCGTAGTGCAGCACAGGCTGGCTAGAAAATTTATACCCAAAAGGGGCGATTCCATTGTTCTAAACTGGCATCGTTCATGAGCGATGTCACAAGGAACAACAGGTACTCTTTAGGAACAGAAGCAGAATCAGTCTTGGCAAAGGAAACACAACCAAACAATAAGCGATGTTGAAAAACAGACCGGGGAGGGAGACACCAGGCGAGAAGGCTGGTTCAGGGTCCTTTCTCATTGCTCTCCATGCCAAAAACTCTACCAGCTGGCCCCATTGTCCATCCCTCTCCTGCCCCGACTAATTTAACACGGGTACCACTACGGATGATTTAAGCCTGGGCCACAGACGAGGTGAACGCACTGCCATGAGAACACAGCAGGAAAAATATGCTGCAAGTGGGGAAAAGCCCTTATGTTTGCAGGACTTGGCCCATCTTGATCCCATCTTAGCCCCCAACTATCTTTCTCCATGCAGCAAAATGGAAGAAATTGGAATTTTCTTCACTGTTAGCAGATTCTCACAAATGTTTTGTTACCCGGCTAGGTTACATCTTCAGTGCTAGGATGGAGTGGGGTTTGCTCTCTGCTTATGTACAATAGCTTGCCTCGTCAGTGTTGGAGGGGGTGTTGTTTCCTCCTTGGTAGTTCCTTGATTAGACTGTTGTTTACTGCTTGATTGTTTGTCTGGTGTTAATCCTGGTATTAATCCCTGCTTATCTGGGTGTTGACTGCTGGCATGGAGATGTTCTGGTCTTTTTGTTTCCTTTTAATTGTCTCTTTTGAATAGTGTGTAGTTGTTGTTTATCTCTGTGTGCCTGTTGATGGCTGCCTTGTCTGAATACCAAGCTTCCAGGAATTCCCTAGCATTTTTGGATTTGGCTTGGTCTAAGATGCTGACAGTTTCAGGGATGGGATTGAACACAATGGTAAAGTACCAAGGTTAAAGCAAACTAAGTGCATTATTCCTTTGTTGTAGGCCCATCCTTCTGTCCTAAGATGTTTGTGGCTAGTTGTCAGAAACAGAATCACAAGCCCCCCTGGAACTCTAGTGTATGGTTACAAGTTACAACAGCAGGATCTTGAAAAGCTGACAGAGACTCTCTTATACCCAAGAGAATCAAGACAGGGCAACCTTGAGCTTCTTCCTCACTCCCGTCTCCCTTCCAAGGCTAAGCATGTATCTACATAACAGCTGTTGGATCAATCAATCAAATCTTTATTACAGTCACAGACCAGCATAAACAGCTGTTGAATTCCTTCTTCAAGGCTATCTTCATACTCCTCTACAACAATGGTGTTCATGCATTATTAAGGAGGAAACCCTTTTCATATTCTCAAGAGCATCATCAACCTTCTGCTCTTGCATGTCTAAGGCCAAAATGGAGCTAGGAAGTTGCCACCTGGATATCTTTTGTCTCCAAATGCTAGGAAACTTTGGATAATTGGTGACTGACACTCTATGGCCAATTCCCATCTCCATCTCCTCATGAGAGTTGCAGCAATGGCCTACCTGAAAGAGGCAAGAAGCTTTCAGGTAAATGCAGATCAGCCTCATCTCCTTTGCAGACCTGCTTTGGGCCTTCTCCATGAGTGCTTCTGGAAAATACATGGAATGTCGGCTCTGTCTTGTCCTTGAATCATTGTACTCCTGGAATGCAGCATGAAACAGACATTTAAACAAATTACCATCACTTCAAAGACTAATTGAGCAAGCTGGCAGAACTGCCAGATAGAAATGTGAGCAAGCCCTCTTCTCTTGCCCGTAGCTGCCCCATTCATTTCTGGATGTCAGCCTGACTGGAATTTGCTGTCCCATCACACCTGGCAAAGTGGGGAATTCTGCTTTTTGTCTTTTTTCCACTTCCCTTGGACGCCTTTGCTTTCTTCAGCCTGACTGGAAGAGAACTTACTGGGGTGCAGCACTCTTCAAACAGTCCACTGAGAAAGCCAGAGGTCCTCCCCTGGGGAAGCTTCTCAGGATGTCCTCACTGAGATCAGGAAGAACATGCAAGCTTCCTTGAATGCTGTCTTGTCCATCTTCCCTGTGGCAAGGGCAATGGTGGGCATGTTTTGGCTTAGGGCTCAGTTCATGGGTGAGAGCAAGCACCTAGAGGTTTCAGTGGCACTGATGTAAACAGAGAACCCGCTCCTGGATCTTTTGCAAGGTAACCCCATGGGGAGAAAGAGACACGGGAGGTTGCAGCAGCACAACTGAGCTGTGGTTAAGCGCAAGTGGGGAAGGATCTAGAAAGAACAATCCAATATTTGGTAATAGAAATCTTGTTTGCAGAGCAGAAAATCCCAGGCTCTACACCTGGTATCTCCAGGTAAAAAAGGATCAAACAGCAAGTAACTGGAAAGATGTCTGATTAAGAGCTGTCTGTGTGCAAGATAAAAAGGGAGGCGTACATGCCCTCTAATGTGGCTTTATCTATCTATGAAGGGGTGAACAACCTTCTTCTTGAGGATTGCCCTACTTCTACAAGACTAATGTACTGGAGGCTGCATTATTATGTCAACAATGGGCAGGACTGAAGACAGCAGTGGGTGGGACAGGTCCAAATTTCAGTGGATCACAGGACTGTGTAGGCAATATATTTACTCAATGGCGTCCAAACAGGGTGTCAATATCAGCAAGAAAGCAGACAGAGCATGCTGGAGGTTGCATCACAACACTCCATCCACCATCTTGCCAATTTTGACCCCCCCCCTCCCCCAAAGACACCACTGTGCTTATGGAATTAGCCCATTTACTGTGTATGCACAGTACTGAACCATAAACCAGCAGACTTATAACAAGCTAAACAAAGGATCAACCCAGATTTAACACTAGCTAAGCGTAGACATTTATGTGAACACAGAAATTAGGTATTTCTCTGATCTGGTTAAAGGTATTATTTAAAACAGCCACTCTTTCTTTTTTGCCCCAGTCCTTCTTTTTCTACAAGGGGCAGATAATTTTTGGTACAGATATGAACAAACTTTTCAGAATTGGGCCAAAGACCACTTGAAGTTACTGCTTTTGTCAGAAATGTATGTAGATTCCTTGCCAAAGAAGAAATGTGCTTCAGGCCATACTTTGCAGACTAAGATCTTACATAATCAGGATGGTAGACCTTACATTCCCATCTGCTTAAGAAACATCAAAAGGATTTTGCACAGGAAGCAATTTTGCAGTGAAGAAGCAACAAGTAAGACAGGCTATAACTGTCCCATTGCTTTCATGTTCTTCTACTATAACCGTCAAATAACCCTTTCCCCTTCCCACCCCCAATTCACAAGATTTAAAACCCTGTGTAAACATGTTTGGAACTCCAGGACTGGATAAGGCTGAAATGGGGTTGGGTAGTTGTGGATCAGCCTAGGGAGCCAACTACTGTCTTAGGATGCTGGGTGGGACCTTGTTAATCACATTAATGATAATTAATCACATTAGTTAATATTAATCATGATATCAGTGATAATTGCATTAATGATAATATTCTTTGTATGGGTGCAGTAGCATGCTATTTGAACACAACAACTGTGGGTTTCCAGTACAGGATTTAGCATTTTGTGTGAACCCAGGCTGTGTGTGTAAACAAAGAAAAGGGTGATAGAGAGGAGAAGAACAATACACGGGGGAGCATTAAGCATCTTTCCTCCTCCCCCTCCTCCACTCCAGCATGGATCAAATAACCAGACAGACGGTGAGGAGAAGGAAAAACACTTACCAGTAAGTCCTCACTCCTGATAGTCATCCCTTTGAATTCAGTGGGGTTTATCATGAATATTAATGTTTGAACATCAGGATGAACCGTAGTGAGATTCTCACTCAGATCGACTTTCATCAAGGTCTCCTCCAAATTCTCCATGACTCTATGAAAAGCAAGAAAGAAAGCACAGGCCTTATGAGAGGAATATATTCTGGTGCAATTCAACGGTCAGTCTTCATATTAATTAATTTGTACAGTTGGTAGAGCAACATAAACCCTGAGGATCCAGCTGACAAACAATGCGTCGTCAGCTAGAAAGAGTAGGAAACATCTCTTTTATTTCATTGCTCTACAGGATCCTCCCCTTCCCCCACATTCAAATATGAAAATACTTTGTGCAAGGGTGGACAAATCTGACTATTTCACTCCCTCTCAATTATTCAATTTTGTGACTGTTTTGTTTTTTTCCCATTTGTAAATTCAGTTCCATTCTCATGCTAAAGTAGTTTGAGACTTTTTAACAGCTGCTTTAAAAGCTGCATCTATTTTATACACATTTCTCCATTTTTCACTGGCTATTTTACCTAACACACTTGGATTTTGCAAAATCGTTTTCCCTATTATCATATATTGTGTACATTATTTTTTATAAATAAATGCATTTTGATGCAGGCTTGTCCTTTTTATCAATTGGCAAATCCAAAGAAGTGATAATTTCAAAAGGTAACTATATTTCAATTCATATGTGATTCAAAAGTATGCAATTAATTAATTATTAATTAATTA